TGACCATAGATGAGGGTAGGAACGTAGACCCACTGGTAAACTGAGAGCTTCACCTTCTGGCTCAGCTCTCTCTTCACCACGACAGACCGGTACAACGCCCACATCACTGCAGACACAGCACCAGTCCACCTGTTGATCTCCTGCTCCATTCTTCCCTCATTCATGAACAAGACCTGAGATACTTAAACTCCTCCACTTGGGGCAGGACCTCCTCCCTGACCCGGAGAAGGTACCCTACCCTTTTCCGGCTCAAGACTATTGTCTGGGATTTGGAGGCACTGATCCTCATCCCGGCTGCTTCACACTCAGCTGTGAACCGCTCCAATGAGAGCTGGAGATCAGGATCTGATGAAGCCAATAGGACCTCATCATCCACAAAAAGCAGAGATGTGATCCTAAGGTCACCAAAAAGGATCCCCTCAACACCTTGGCTGCTCCTAGAAATTCTGTCCATAAAAGTTATGAACAGAATCAGTGACAAAGGACAACCTTGGTGGAGTCCAACTCTCACTGGAAACAAGTCTGACTTACTACCAGCAATGTGGACCAAGCTCTGGCACCGGTCCTACAGGGACCTAACAGCCTGTATCATTGGGCCTGGTACCCCATAGTCCCGGAGTTCCCCCCACAGGACTCCCTGAGGAACATAGTCGAACACCTTCTCCAAGTCCACAAAACACATGTAGACTGGTTGAACTCCCATGAACCCTCCAGGACCCTGCTGAGGGTGCAGAACTGGTCCAGTGTTCCACGACCAGGATCACAATCACACGGCTCTTCCTGAATCTGGGATTCGACTGACTGACTGACCCTCCTCTCCAGGACCCCTGAACAGACCTTACCAGGGAGACTCAGAAATGTGATCCCCCTATAGTTGGAACACACTCTGTGGGACCACCACCCCAGTCTGCCAATCCAGGGGAACCGCCCCTGATGTCCATGCGATGTTGTAGAGTCGCATCATCCAATGCAATCCCACAACATCCAGAGCCTGAAGGAACACCGGGTGAATCTCATCCACCCCCGGTGCCCTGCCACCGAAGAGCTTTTTAACCACCTCAGTGACCTCAGCACCAGAGATTGGAGAGTCCGACCCAGGGTCATGAGGCTCTGCTTCCTCATGGTAATACGTGTCGGTAAGATTGAGGAGGTCTTCAAAATATTCTGCCCACCACCCAGAGGAGTGCTCTCCAGCACCCCCTCCAAGGACTCCAGAAAGGGTGGTAATCTGAACTGTTGTTAGGCTCATAGGCACAAACAACAGTCAGGACCCGTCCCTACACTCTCGTTCACCGGGGTGAACCCCAACGTACAGGCACCGAGATGGGGGGCAATAAGTATRCCCACTCCTGCTTGGCACCTCTCAGCATGGGCAACCCCAGAGTGGAAGAGTGTCCAACCCCTCTGGAGGAGACTGGTTCCAGAGCCAGAGCGGTGCTTCTAGGTGAGTCCAACTATATCTAGTGGGAACCTCTCAACCTCACACACCAGCTCAGGCTCCTTCCCCACCAGAGAGGTGACATGCCACATCCCAAGAGCCAGCTTCTGTAGCTGAGGATAAGACCGCCAAGGTCCTCACCTTCGACCCCTGCCCAACACCGGACCCCTACGGCCCCTCCCACAGGTGGTGAGCCCATGGGAAGGGGGACCCACGTCTCCTTCGGGCTGTGCCTGGCTGGGCTCCTTGGGTGAAAGCCCGGCCACCAGGTGCTTGCTAACGTGCCCCACCTCCATGCCTGGCTCCAGAGTGGGGCCCCGGTGACTCGTGTCCAGGGGATGAAACACTGAATCTATTGTTGTGACTCGCCAAGAGGGGTCTTTGGGCTGCACTTTGTCTGATCCCTCACCTAGGACCTGTTTGCCTTGGATGACCGTACCAGGGACATGAAGCCCCCGACGACATAGCTCCTAGGATCATTGGGACACTCAAACCTCTCCACCATGACACGGTGGCAGCCCAGGTTGAGGGCCACTAAGCTGCTTATAAATATTTATAACTCATTTGATTAAGTATTTTGTACAGGGATGCACCGATATGAAAATTTCAGCCGATATCTATATCTGATATAATTATTGCTGTTATGGCTGATTGATGATATTTACCGATCGTGAAGGCTCGTTAATAGAAACTTGTCTTAATTTAATTTTCTTCTCCAGTGGTGTTCCTGTCACATGTGAGCCAAAATGTAAGAATAAGATTGACATATTTTGTTCCTCTGCACCATCCCCTCCTCCTCCTCCTCCCCCTCCCCGTCTCCTCTCCCCCTCTCCTTCCTGCTAACCCTGTAGTTGTGGAAGTCCGATGACTTTGGGGAGACATGGGTGTTGATCCAGGAGCATGTGAAGACCTACTTTTGGTAAGACAACAGCTTTCTAGACACTGGACGTGTAGAGTGTGTACTGATGAAAGAATGAATGCTTTGTGTGAGAAATATCCTGAGCCCCAAATCTTTAATGCAATATCAAAAGTAAAGAGAAAATTCAACCTTTCAATTCAACCTTCTATGTTCAATGCTTAACTTGTAGTTTTTACTTTACAATTGTAGTCTGATTGCTGTTGAAAATTTCCATCAAGCCTGTAAGAACTGAATTACTTACCTGCAAAAACATTACTGGATAACCTGCAAATACTCACCTCTGCAAAACCTCTGTTTCAGGTCCCGTTCCCATTTTTCCAACACCTGTAAAATAAAATCACTTACCTTTTTTTATATCCTGCCTCAGCCTCTGTTTGTCAATTGTATCTGCTCACGTCGACCTCCACCTGTAAAATCTGATAGTATGCATCAGCCAAGCGATATGTCTGTGAGCAATACTTCTGACAATCAGATCCTTGGAGCCACTGGTCAACAGACTCTAAAATAGTTGATCATGACCATATGCTTAATCAGTTATTTTTATTACATCAGGAAACCAGCTCTTTGTTAAATCAAGTCACTCATTGCATCACTGCCATTGATAACAGGTTAAACACAATCCTTCCCAGTCCATCTAAGTTACCTGCGAGAGAACCAGACATCCGACCATCCGAAATGTTTGATGGGGACATAAATCACTGTGCACGTTTTCTGCTTCAATGCCGGTTGGCTTTTGCTCGCTCTCCTTCACTTTTTCCGACTCATTCCGCTCGAGTCACCTATATTGTTTCAGCTCTCAAAGGGAAAGCTCTCAGATGGGCTCAAGCGTTTCTATCTGCCCATTCATCTGACACACTCACCTCTCAGCTGTTTATCCAGGAGTTTCAACGTGTGTTCGATCATCCCCTCCAGCAGGAGGAGGCAGCCAAACGACTGATCAACCTACGTCAAGGGAATAAGTTGGTAGCTGAACACTCTATGGATTTTCGTATCATTGCTGAAGAGGCTGGATGGGAAGAGCTCTCATTAAAAGGTATCTTTATGAATTCGTTGACGAATTAATCGCTTTGTCAATCCGTATTGATAATAGATTAAGAGAGCGAAAAAAGAGAAGGAATACAATTCCCAGAGCCCGCGGGTTTCCGCTTCCTCAATCAGTGGTGAGTTTCCGTTTCCTCACACTACAGCTGCTCCCAATGAAGTCGAGCCCATGCAAATTGGACACATGCGTTTGACTCCTGAAGAAAGGCAAAGACGATTCAATGCTAAACTTTGCATCTACTGTGGAAATAAGAGACACTTCATCGCCACCTGCCCGCTGCGGGGAAACAGGCAGGCTCGTCAGTAAACCAGGGGAGGCTGACGAGACAGGAGAACTTCTCCCCTACCTCTTTGTTTTTTCTGCCTGCTACGGTAGTTTGTGGACAGACCAAGCTACCCATCTCTCTGCTCTTGTGGACTCCGGTGCTTAGCAAAACCTTATCTCCAGTGATTTAGTTGAACAACTGGGTATCCCTACCTCACCCCTCGATGCACCACACTCAATCGCTGGTGTCATTGGACAACTGTTATCTCAAGTCAAACAACAAGTTTCCAGTTTACATGTTGTGTCCGGCAACCATCATGATTTGGGTGAGTTTGTTGTTTTTGATTCCACCTCTCCACAACTCATTTTTGGTTTTCCATGGCTGTCTGCTCACAATCCAGTTATTAATTGGAAGGAGAAGAGGGTTGAGAGCTGGAGTAGCCGTTTCTGTCTCCGTTAAAGGGGAGGAACCCATCGAGGAGACGGATTTGTCTTTGGTTCCTGAGGTTTATCATGACCTAGCATCTGTCTTTAGCAAAAATAAAGCACTCTCATTACCCCCTCATAGACCATACAACTGTTCTATAGAGTTAACACCTGGTTCATCATTGCCATCCAGTCGTTTATACAACCTCTCCGGTCCTGAAAAAGAGGCCATGAAAGCTTATATTGAGGATTCTTTGGCTTCTGGCATAATCCGCCCCTCCAAATCACCTCTAGGGGCAGGGTTTTTTTGTTGCTAAAAAGGATAAGACTCTGAGGCCTTGTACTGATTACCTAGGTCTAAACCAAATCACAGTTAATAAATACCCACTACCTCTGATAGATTCAGTTCACGATCAGCTCCACTCAGCCACCATCTTTACCAAACTGGATCTCCGAAACGCATACCACCTTGTAAAGATAAAAGAAGGTGATGAGTGGAAGACAGCTTTTAAGACCCCTTTGGGTCATTTCGAATACTTAGTTATGCCGTTTGGCTTAACCAACGCTCCAGCTGTTTTCCAGGCCCTGATAAATGATGTCCTAAGAGATTTCCTTAATGTGTGTGTTTTTGTTTACTTGGATGACATCCTCATTTATTCTCGTGATCTCCAACAACATGAAAGACATGTAAAAGCAGTCCTCCTGAGACTTTATGAGAACCAGCTCTATGTTAAGGCTGAGAAATGCGAATTTCATGTTTCGTCAGTTTTGTTTTTGGGTTTCATTCTGGAAAAGGGTCAGTTCAGGACTGATCCTGAAAAGGTCCGAGCTGTTACTGAGTGGCCAGTCCCCAACGATCGCAAACAACTACAACGATTTCTCGGTTTTGCAAATTTCTACAGGCTTCATCAGGGACTACAGTTACATCGCCGCACCTCTCACTCAACAACAACACAAACACAAAGCAGTACCTGTGTGTGCGTTGGACAAAAGGTCTGATTAAATCCATCTTGATGCTCTTAAACGGCACCTCCCTTAAAGTTTGGGGCTGCAGGCCTTTAGTCTGTGGATTCAGAAATTAGGGTTTGATGCAGGACACACGCCAGTGATATGCACATTTTTCTGTGCCAGACCAACAAGCATGTCTTCACACTCCATGGGACCAAGGATCAGGTCATAATGTGCCATCTAGCAAACCCTTTTCTGATGGCTTTTTGATCCTAACATCTGGTTAGAAACACAATAAAGCTTTGAACCAATCACTCTCACCATTCTCTGTTTCCTGAATCACCCCTGCAGCCAAGCTGAGCCACACTCCACCTCCACACAATGACCTGATACAGATGGTGGCAGAGCTCAGTGTCGTAGCAAAGACTGAGACTTTTAATTTGTAAAATCCACCACAGTAAGGTGCACTGACAGCCATCAGCTGTTTTCTATACAGCATCTAGTTAACGTAACATCAGCACTGTGTTTATTTTGGTGAGTATAATTCTAACCAGCATTGTTCAGGCTGTTGGAATGTGATGGACACAGCTCATCAAACCTTACTGTCCAATCAGCTCCTAAACCAATCAAAACACACATAGAGAAGTTCACCAAAGTGAAGTATTATGGGGGTAGTGTGGAACGGGGG